CTCTGCCGCTCTGCGATGTGAAAAACGTGTCTCATTGATCGCCGGTGGAGGCCCGATAGCCCACTCCACCCAGGAACGTGCGGATTCGTTATCGGGGGCACATTTGTCGCCGACTGCGATGCATCGCCGATTCCAGGTCCATGCCCCCACGAGGCAGAGTCCCTCCCTCACGTACCCTCAGAGATTTGGGGGGCGGGTACCAGCGCGCTCGGAAGAGGCCCCCGACACATCCGGCGTCGTGATCTTTCCGCGGCGCCGGCTCCTGGGGACCTCGGCTCCGCCCCAGGGGATGTTTTGCCTTCTGTCTTTTTTTTCGGCGCTGGTCGTCGGTTCTGTGGCCAGTCCCAGCGCCAGAGCACGTCGCAATTTTGTAGCTACGTCGGCCCCAGGGCTGGACCTAAACGCTGTTTTGCTGGACTTCGGCTGGGTTTTGTTTTTCGTTTTGGCAGGGAGGTACAGGAAAACAGGTAGAGCAAAACGAAACACATAACGAAAACAGCACGAAAAACAACGCGTCGGCCCAGCCCTGGTCGGCCCCCTGGGGGTCTCGACTGCTTCCCCAGGGCCGGCTTCTCACCCCGAGCAGGTTTTGGGCGGTGCCCGGGGTCGGCCAGCGGCCTCCATGAGGCCGGCAACGAGGAAAGCCGACCGTCCCGAGTCCAGACCTGGAGGACCGAGCAGACCCTGCCCCTCCTCCCAACTGGTAACGCAGGCCTAGAGACGCGGCCAGCTTCCAGCCTCCTCCTCCTCCTCCTCCTCCTCCTCCTTTCCACCGCCTGGATCTGACCTGTGCGCGCTTCCAGAGGGACCCCTCCCGCCCCTGAGACGGTCAGATCGGGGGCAACGATTGGGGGGGATAGGACCAGGGGGGAAGGCATCGACCCCCAACGGCTCACTCATCGCCGGTAGGGGACCGATAACCCCAACCTGCCCAGAAACGCGCGGGTTTGCAATCGCAGGCCTGTCGCCGATCTATCGGCGATGCACCGCCGATGCCTGGTCGATGAATCCCCCTCGATGCCAAGCAACCCCCTTGTCGTTGCCCCTCATCTGAAGCGGGTGCTCTCCGACGGGCCAGTCCCGAGGAACCCCTCGTCTCGGCCTCCGTCGCTCGCCGCACCTGGGCTGGAGGTCTGCGAGACGGGCAGGGTGATGCTCTGTCCGCTTGCCTGGGCTCCTAGTTGGGGGGAGAGGGGCGCATTTGGTCGAGCGGGGGGCGGTGAGGATGAGGAGGAGAAGGAGGAGGAGGAGGAGGAGGAGGAGGAGGAAGAGGAGGAGGAGGAGGAGGAGCAGAGGAGGAGGAGGAGCAGGAGGAGAGGAGGAGGAGGAGAGGAGGAAGGAGGAAGAGGCAGGAGCAGGAAGAGGAGGGAGGGAGGAGGAGGATGGGAGGAAGGGAGAGGGGAGGAAGGAGGAGGATGAGGGGGGGCAGCAGGAGGAGGAGGAGGAGGAGGAGGAGGAGGAGGAGGAGGAGGAACAGGAGCAGGAGCAGGAGCAGGAGCAGGAGCAGGAGCAAGATGATGATGAGGAGGGGGAGGAGGAGGAGGAGGAGGAGAAGGAGGAGGAGGAGGGGGGAGGAGGAGGATGAGGAGGAGGAGGAGGAGGAGGAGGAGGTGGACCAGTGTAAACCCAAAACGTATCAAGGATCTTGCTATGTACTCTCCCTTCAAGTTCCCTCTTCGTAAGTCTCTACGGAAAGTCATGCTCATTGCCGAAAGTGTTCCATTGGAAGACAACAGTTTGAGACTCTTCAGTCTTGCCGAAACGTAATTCCTGGGGTTTCAACACGTGATCATTTTTTCATTCATTGTTTTGCAGATCGGCGCGGACCCTCGCACCCCCTCCCCCCCTGTGGAGTAGATCTTGGTTGTTTTTGCAGGCAGGTGGAGTTTCCACCAACGAACGCACTGCTGCAAACAGTCGCATGAAGCAGAGGTCCGGAGCCAGACTCCCCCCTCCCCTCCCCCTTCCGCCCTGCCCAATATAGAAACGCCGAATAAGAAAACGGTTGCCACAGTGAATCAACGTGACTGTTGCTTCCTGACGTTCCTAAACCGAGCAAGAACATCATTCCTGGGATTTGACACTGCGAATCAACGTAGATCGAACCAGAACATCATTCCTGGGACTTCAACACAGCGAATCAGTGTCACTGCTGCGTCCTGACAATCCTACATCGTGCCAGCACGCAACTCCCGGGATTGCAAACATACGAACCGATGGAACTGTAGCATTTTTTGAAACGAAAGTTCTCGACGCTAGGGCAAGACAAGCGCAACCTTTTGAAAACGCCCCGTCCTCCGTCCGTGAAGCATACGCAAATGTCAGGCTTCGGGATCATGACTGGTGAGGAAGTCTCAGGCGAAACGCCTGGCTTGCACTACCGACACATATGGGTGTGCGACAGGGAGGAGGTGTTTATAAGGAAAAACCATGCATGAGGAAGAGAAGGAGGAGGAGGAGGAGGAATACATGATCCAGGGTCGAGGATTCACAGGTCACCCCCTTCAGATGAGATGGGCCCCAGGGTTCCACAAAACTCCCCCTCCAGATGTGATGGGACGACGACGACGCCGCCGCCGCCGACAACGCCGACGCCGACGCCGACGCCGACGTCGACGCCGACGACCGACGACGACGACGACCGCAACGACGATGACGACGACGACGACGACAACCGCAACGACGACCGCAACGCCGACGACGACGACGCCGACGACGACGACTACGACGACGACGACGACGACGGCGACGACGACGACGACGAACCACCCCACATTCACAGGGGTAGGTGAGGGGCGCTGGCACCTATCAACACGTCACGCCCACGTTGCCACGACCACCGGGGGGTGGGTGGGGGCGATCCCACTTGCCAGGCCTTCGCGAGGCTCACGGGCGTACCCATCCAGCGGGGAGGGCGGGCGATCCCATTACCATTGGAGGGTCGGTGGAGCCCTAGATCACATATATATATATATATATATATATATATAGGTATGGGCGTTGGGGGGCCAAGCCACGATCTCTCTCTCTCTCTCTCTGGCATTCTGGGGCTCTCACGGGGTGAATCGGACGCGGCGCCCCTCGTTGGAAGGGCGCGCCTGCGGCGTCCCAGCGCGGAGAGGGAGCCCCTGGCCGCAGTCGGTAAGGGGGAAGGCCGAGGCTGCCCCCCCCGCTCCTCCAAAGGCGACCCCCGCGGGGAGGCAGCAGGTGAGGGGGGCCCATGGCACTGCGCATTGGAGGCAGCCATTTTTTACGATGCGTCAGGTGCGCGCCGAAAGCCCTTTCTCTGTCGACGACGCTCGGCGAGAAACTGTTTGAGTGCGGGCACCGCAATCGTGTACACATCTCCCTTTCGCTGTACGATGCCAGTATTTGCCCAACTATTCAATGCTGTGGCAACGTGCCCAGCGTGCACCACCACTCAATTTTGCTGTATGTTTCTCCTGGAAGGAGCTCTTCATCCGCAGACCCCACCAAACATCAAACGTTGTGTCCATCACTTTGTTGTTGCGCTCTGTCGTGGGGTGCGTTGTGCTCTCAACTTGGTTTGCGTCAACAGCTTCCATCAGTTCACCGCATGCACGGTCCAAGGAAGTATTATGTTCCCTCGTTGTTCCAGGATGTTTTGACAACTCTCGGAATGTGTCGTTGAGCACTTTGAATCGTTTTTGGTCCAGTGCGGCCGCTGCCAAGCAAACGTCAATCCTTTTTCCATGTTTCTTCTCCTCCCCCTCCTTTTCCTTCTCCTCCTCCTCCTCCTGCTTCTCCTCCTCCTCCTCCCTCTCCTCCTCTCCCCTCTTCCTCGCCCCCCTCTTCTTCCTCCTCCTCCTCCTCCTCCTTCTCCCCCTCTTCTTCCTCCTCCTCCTCCTCGCCCTCCTCCTCCACCTACTCCCTCTAATGGTGTCGACTTCGACCACGACCACGACCACGACCACTTCCACGACCACCATGATGACGACTACGACGGCGACTCCCCGAGGGCTAGGCGCGAGGCTTAGTAGGCCGCCCGACCCCCTCGCTCAGGCCGTCACGTACGCGCCGGTGGCCCCGCCGACGCCTCCACGCGCGCGCGCGCGCGCCCCCTCCGACGGGGGCCTCGCCGCCGCCGCCGCCGCAGGGTGCCGCCGTGGTCGTGGTCGTAGTCACGTTCGTCGTCGTGGTGGTGATGGTCGTCGTGATGGTCGTGTGGTGGTGGTGGCAGTGGTGGTTGTCGTCGTCGTCGGCATCGTCGCTTTCAGTACCAGTGCAGTCAACGCCGAAGTCGTCGGCGTCGCCGTCGCCGTCGCCGCCGTCGGGTGCCGTCGTAGTCGTGGTCGTCGTACTGGTGGTCGTCGTGATGGTGGTGGTTGTCGTCGTAATTTCCGGAAATTGTTCGAAAGGCTTCGAAGCCCCAGGTAGTTTCCATCAATTGCGCCTCGTCGGGAGCGTTTTGGGGGTGCCGAAATCGTTCCGATTGGCCGCCAGAGAGCCGAGTTGGGTTCAGAAAGCGCGGGGGCAACATTCGAAGGGGTCACAGGCTCGGGGGGGTGGATCGACCCCCAATCGCCCATTCATCGCCGATGGGGGCCCGATAGCACGTCCTGCCCAGGAGCTTGCGGGTTTGCTATCGGTGGCCGATCTGTCCGCGATGTATCGCCGATTCCAGGTCTATGTCTCCCCCCCTGAGATGGTCCCCCCCTATCGTTCCCCCTCAGTGGTGGTGATGGTGGTGGTGGTGGTGGTCGTCGTCGTCGTCGCCGTCGCCGTGTCGCCGTTCAAGTTCTGGCCGTCGATGTCGACGTCAGAGGGGGGAGGGTGGAGCGAGGCAGGAGGATGAGGAGGTGGGACGAAGCTTCTCCCTCACCCTCTCATCCTCCTCCTTTTCTCGTCCCCGACCTGTGCCACTGGGTCCCCTTCAGGCAAACAGGCGGGTAGCAGCCCGATCGTCACCCCATTTGTGCCCATCCGAGGTTCGTAGGCAAGCACGATGTTCGGCAGTGACGGGCGGGGGAGAGACTCTTGCATCTCGTGGCCACGTTGCATGCCCACCCGTTCTCCCAATGGCCAGGTTACCCCGCCCTGCCGTGCGTGAGGGTGGGCGGGTCGCTTATGGGTGGCCCATCAGGGTATCCTCGCCCCTGCTTCCCAGCGTGCGTTGGGGTGAGCGGTCACGCCGGGAGAGTGGTGCCCCCCGGGTGCGTGGTCGGTGCGTGTCGCTATCTGAGGCCAGACGGCTGGACGCAGCTCGAAAAAGGCGGGGCCAGAATCGCCTCGTCATCGGAGCGTTGCGCCTGGAGTGCGCTGCGTGTGAAGGATGAGGGCAGTTACGTGTTGTGATGCTTGTTGGCCGGCCTGTTGTTGCCTGGCTCCTCCTTCTTTCTCGGCGCGCGCCAGGTATATGTCGCGAGTGAAGGATGTGGGCAATTGTTAATTGTGATGCTTATTGGCTGGCCCGTCGCTGCCTTGCTTGTTTTCCTCGGGTATTCATAGGAAGGCTTTGCGTGACTTGTGCTGGCTATGTACGCCCGCTACTTGAATGTAGTGGCTTCCCACTGGGGTTGGCAGCTGGTGTGACGATGGCAAAGTCCCAGGCAAGGTTTTGCACGGGCACGGGAGCTACCCGTTGTTTCTTGTGAGTGCATAGTACGACTGGTATTGTTCACGGTAGTCCCCATGGTATTCCTTTCCTCCCCCTTCGTCCTGCCTCCGCCTTTGCTCCTCGCGGGGCCGCCGGTCGGCTGCAGGAAGAAGAGGAGGAGGAGGGGGGGAGGAGGAAGGCCACGCGCGGGATCCGTTCTCTGCATTCGGGGCCCAGGGGCCTCGGGGTCAGCCTCAGCCCGCGCGGCCTGCCGCCGCGCGATGGCGGAACGGAGACCGCGGGCGCCAGCAATCTTTAACGAGGATGCGAGACCATACCTGGCCGCTGGAGACCGAGAGCAGCGCGCGCTGCAGCGCGCATGCTGGGCTACGCTGCGCGGACAGACTGCTACGTCGCCCAGAAGGACGTCCACTTCGTCATGAAGGGCGCCAGCCAGCTGGTACGATGTCAGAGTTTCGGCGTCGAAGTATACGACGTCGCAAAATGCGACAAATACGACATCACATACGACATTCACAACAAAAAATAGGACACCAGGCGCGACAAGGCCGAGCAGCCTGATAAGGTGACCAAGTACATCGTCGTGGAGATAGCTGTTGGTCACGGCACCGCCGCCTATGACGATGACGATCACGAAGCCTACAACGGCTACGACGAATACAACGGCTACGACGACTACACTGCATACGGTTTCGTCCCCCTGCCGCCTACCATGCTGGCAGAGTCTCGAGAGCCACCTGCGGATTTTTGAAGGCCACCACCAGAGCTACGACAGCAGGAAACATGGGGTTCGAGAGCCACGGGTTGAACTTCCAGGACCACCGGCAGGGCTACGACGGCAAACAGCAGGACTTCGATGACCGCTGGCAGAGCCACCGGGGCCGCCAGCAGAGCTTCGAGGGCCACCAGCTGAGTTATGAGGGCCAGCAGCTAAGCTTCCACGGCAAGAAGCAGAGCTTTGAGAATCACCAGCTGAGCTTCGAGGGCCCGCCCCCAGCAAAGGTTCGATTGAAAGCAGGGCCGCAAGAGCCACCAGCTGAGCTTCACAGGCCACCTTCAGCGCTACGACGGCAAGGAGCAGCGCTTCGGGGGCCAGCAGCTGAGTTCCGAGAGCCACCAGCTGAGCCCCCAGCGCCCCCAGCGGAATTACGATGGCCACCACCTGAGCGTCGACGGCAAGGGCCAAAGCCTCAAGGACCACCAGCAAAGCTATGCCAGCCACCAGGGAAATATCACGAGGAGCAAGACGAAAAATGCTGCTACGAGGGAGTCTGGATAACGGAACTCTAGGACCTGGCAGCCGACGATTCCTACGTGAACTACGTGGGCGAACAAGACAAGGCCTGGGTGTTCTCCGAGAAGTCAGAACACGCAGAAATAAGAGGACCGCCGGAGGACGTGCGAGGGCCACCATCGCAGCTACGACGGCCACCAGCAGAGCTATCAGGGCCACCAGCAGAGCTTCGCGGGCCACCGCCAGTACGTGGAGGTCCACCAGCAGAGCTACAAAGACCACCAGCAGAGCAACGAAAACCACCAGCGGCGCTACAAAGGCCACCAGCACAACTGTGTCGGTCAAAAGACGAACTACGAGGGATACCAGTCGAGCCTCGTGGGCCATACGGTGAGCGACGCGGGCCAGTAGCAGAGCCCCGAGGGCGACCAGCAGAGCTACTTGGACCAAGAGCCGAGCTATGACGGTCACAAGCATATCTTCAATAGCAACAAGCAGAACGAGGAGGACCACCAGTGTATCTGCAAGGACAACCGGTACATATACCAAAGCTAGAAGGCGAGCTACGAGGCCCGCCAACAGAGAGACGCGGACCACCAGCAGAGCTTCGAGGGCCACTAGCTGGACGACAACGAGCCACCAGTCGAGCTACTAGGGCTACGAGCTGAGCTACCATGGCCACAAGCAGAGCTACGAGAAACACTAGCAGAGCTACCGGGGCAACCTGCTGCGCTACGAGGGCCGCCGGCTCAGCAGCAAGGGGCACCAGCTGAGCTGCGAGTGCCAGAAGGAGGGCGACGCGGACCACCAGCTGAGCTACCAGGGCCCCCAGCTCGGCTACGAGGGCCAGAGGCTGAGCCTTTGGGGCCACCGGCTGACCTACGAGAGCAACCAGCTGAGCTACGACGGCCTGCTGCTGAGCTAGGGTATTCACCGCCGCAGCTACTAGGGCAACCTGCAGAGGGACGATGGCAGCAAGGTCAGCTCAGAGCAGGACAACAAGCAGAGCTGCGAGGGCCACAGGCAGAGCCACAACAGCCAATGGCCGAGCTTCGAGGGCCACCTGTTGAGCTACGAGGACCACCGACCGACCTTCCAAGGCCACAACCCGCCCTTCTAGGGCTGCAAACAGAGCTCCCAGGGCCATCAAATCAGCTACGGGTCCCCAGCGGAGCTGCGCGGGCCGCAAGCTGCGCTACAAAGGTCACGGGCGTAACTCCCATAGCCACCTCCAGAGCTGCGATGGCTTCCAGATGGATCACGACAGCCACTAGCTGAGCTACAAGCTGCGCTACGAGGGCCGCAAGCAGAGCTACGAGACCTACCAGCAGAGTTACCGGGGCCACTTGCTGTCCTACGAGAGCGGGGAGCAAAGCTACGGGGCCCACCAGCTGAGCTGCGACCCCCTCGCGTTGAGCTGCGGGAGCCAGATGTAGTTCTACGGGGTCTTCCAGCTGAGCTGCCAGGGCCAGCCGCGAGACGACGCCGAGGCCCACGTAATACCTGGACAACTACTAAGCCGATTGCATTCGGAGACAAGGTGGAGGGCAAGTTGTGCAGTGATTCTTTCGAGCGCACGGTTTTGCATCTGAGCGTCCAGACATGGAAAATCTTATGGGCCGACGGCTTTGAAGATAACGCCCCCGGCTATGTTATCCAGAGGGAGCCACAAGCTGAACTGCGAGGGCCACAAACCGAGCTGCGAGAGCCGCAGGTAAGGCTACGAGGGCCACCAGCTGATCTACCAGGGCCATTGGCTGAACTACGAGGGCCACGGCCCGGGCCAATCGGGCCACTATCTGAGCTACGAGGGCAACCACTTGAGCTAAGTGAGCTACGAGGGGCACCATCTGAGCTGCAAGGGCTACCTGCTTGGCTGCGAGAGCTGCCGCCAGAGCTGCTGCGAGGGCCACCTGTGGAGCTAAGAGGGCCACCGCCTGAATTACGATACCCCCGCAAAAAAAATGCCTGAGCGTGGCCCGACCTCAACCATGTTTCATGTCCCCCCATATACACTGAGCCTCGGGATGTGAGATGGACAGGCGGCCTCCCCCTTCGCCCCCCCCCCCCCCCTCCGGGAATCCGAAGCTGCCCCCCCCAGGGCTCCCGTGCTGCGCTGCCCGCCCGCGGTGCGCAAGTAGGCGCGCGGTGCGGCCGCGCGGACGTGGGAACGCGCCGAGTCGTGCTGCGGCAAACAGGAGGACGAGGAAGAGGTCGAGGAGGAGGAGG